GGGGGGGGGGGGGATGTTCCTGGGCTCGCTGGGGTGCGTGAGGAAAAAAGGGAACGGAGGGGGGGGTCTAGGTCGAGCGCGAAGGCTGCGTTTGGTGTGGGTTGACGGCGCATTGGTCCATGGGAAGAGGCTGAGTGGAGCTGTGCCAGCATACGGATACGAGACAGAACTAGAGGATGAGGACGAGTGAGGGAAGTTAGGGAATGGCTGGTTGGTTTGGTCGGTTTCATTCAGAAGGGGTGACGTTGCAGTATCTCTGCCTCTCTATCTCTCTCAGCCGGCTCCTGGATCGATTCATAATAAACTCGGTCCCGAAACAATGCCCGCCCGGGCAAATATTGCGAATATCGTCCACAAATTTGCGTACAAGTTTGCGTTCCGTTGGGTTACGTTTTGGTTTGCGTTAGTAGCTATACATGGTAGAGGGCTTCCAGCAGCGAGAGTGGTAAAAAAAAGTGCAGCCTAAGCGTAGTAGGAGAGAGACCAGAGAGGAGAGAACAGAGGAAAGTGCGAACACAACACAAGCAAGGGTTATACTTTTTTTTCCGGTTATTTTTTTTTCTCTTCATTTCCCGGATTAACCATTCTTTGTTTCCCCTCGTCGTTCGCGCCCTTGCGCCACTTGGATTCCCAATACGACCGTCACCGTCTACGTCACCGTTACTGTCATATCGCCCCATTCAGGGATTTCGAGGAGTCGTCAGCTACGTCGAAGATCAGAGGCAGCAGCAATAGGAATTAGTAGGCAATTACGAAAGGCACAATTCACGAGCATTAAAAACGGCTGTTCGTTCCATAATTATGGAAATGAAAATAGTAGAAAAAAAAAATTATAAAACAAAAAATCCCTAAATACACCCTTCGCACGTTCACGCCACAGTCATGACTGACCGCCACTGATTCTTCGAGTGTTTCCAGCAGCTCGAATGGCGACAGCATCAGGAAGACAGTTAACTCTAGTCCCCATTTCGCAATAAGTAATAAGTAATAACGCAACGGGCATTTATCCTTTTAAATTGGCCATGTCCATCGCGACAGTCCAGGTATTCGATGAACGTAGCAATGGCCTCGAGTGACAGCGGTGACTAGGCACGAAGAAAGTAACCGAGTAATAAAGATGGAGGTGATATGAAGCGTATGTTGGGGGGGAGGGG